TAAGAGCACTCACTCTACCGTCAGAACTCGGGGAAGGTTAGGGCCTTGCCGTTAACAGTCACAGCACTCCAAAAAGTAACCCTGTTAGCTACTTCGGAGTCGTTCTATCCCACAATCTCTCTTTTGGGCTAGGCATGTAGAGAACGTTTGCAATATGGTTCGTGAGCTTTCTTTTAATGCTTGCAGGCTTAGGAAGCTTGCTGATCCACCAAATGTAATTTTCAAATTCGTGGTCGCATGCATCCTTCTTCATTGACTGTACTGTTCCCTGTAGTTTTCCCGACCTGAAAGAAAAAGATTTCATATTAATAGTCAGATCCATAAAACTCCTGTCCCGATGTAGTGGCATAGCTAGATATGTCCTGGTTGATTTCATTGTGTGCAAACATATCGATGCATGTGAAAGAATAGTCGACAGAATCTGGAACAACGACGATCAGTGCTTGCACAACGAACTTCTTAAATCCATGTCAATTCCCCATATCCGCTCTTATGATAAGCTCATTCCCGCAAGCACCGTCACTTACCGAAACAGTATCCTCCCCTTTCTTGCTCTCTTTTTTTTAGTAAATCGGGCATCAATTACTACAGGTCTGGTGGAACACCACACGAGTTATTTTATTTATTCAGTCATTATCGGCTTCTTATTCGCAATGTGCTGTCGTTTCTTTGTTTATCCTATTCATATTCTTGTGCGATCCATCACCCACCCAGTCCCACTTCCACTGTATTATCTAGAAGAAAACGGTGAAAATTCACCCTTCGGGGGCATAAAGCTTAGTTTGACTTGACTTTAATTTTCACACTCGTTTGCTGACACCAGTGAGGTACAGTCTATTTGAGAAAAATCGATTTTATTACCTTACTCGGTGACAACTCACCGACGATTCAAAGCACGCTGAATGGTTTAGCAATTGAGTTTGCTCGTTTTGGTATACTTTTCCACTCACCTCAAATTGCAAAATGTTTCTGCAAGATTGGATGGAACCTGCTCCTACATTTTCGTTGGGTAATTACACTCCTGACGTAGTCGGAAGCCTTTTTTTACCCCAGGAGTTGTATAACGGCTGGCGAAGGAGTGGATGAGGTCTCCCAACACGTAATCAACAGAAGGACTAGCGTCCCCTAATTTGTGATATATGTCTGATGCCCGCGCGACATATCCCTTTGACTAAAAAAGCAGGCTATGTCCCACGACCATTCGTCTTAGATTGAGTAAAACCATTTCACTACATCATCTGAGGTGACTAGGGCACATTCTACGAACAATCGGATGATGTCTGCTCTACCGTTACTCCTACATCCAAACGGCAAGTCTGCAACTTAAACCACCAGGCAAAAGTGCAAGGTTATTGGCTGTGCAAACTAACAGTTTGCCTTCACTTTTAGAGCATACCGGAAAGTATTCGCACCATACACTGTTACCGGGCGGACAGCTGCTGGTGACACTCACCCGTTCTAGAACATTGGGATGCTGCGGTGGGTCAACGAATGTCAAACGTTGTTCTGACCTTCTCTACGTGTGCCATAACGTTATTGGTGATTCGTTCGCACAATTAGAAAAAAAATCGATCTCCGTTAGAATGACCAAGACATTGGGATCAATCCGGTCTCATGATAGCATTCTACAAAGGAACTTA